CCCCCCCCCCCCCTCAAAACCAAAAATTAAGCACATAAAATATTATTGTGCTCAATACAGGGAATACTGGGTGAAAAGCTTAAAGGAAGTGAGATATAAGAGGCTGAAAAGAAGAAGATGTAGCCATATTTTTCACCTATGTAATCCTCCTCTCTGAAGAGAGAAAGAAATGGTAATTCCTAGCAACTAAGCTTGCTTTTATGGACACTCTAACAGACAGGATCTGTCCATTCCGAGTTTTTAACTTTCTGGTAACACCAAACAGGCCTAGATGAGGGCTTTCTTGTGCTTAGTGATTAAAAACATGACGCATCTTTGACCCAACTAATTTCAAACGTTTCAGAAGAAAGCACAAAAATAGGTTATGAAGACATTACGTGAATCTGTAAAGCTTTTTTTCAACCCTCTCAACATATGACTCCTATTTTAAAAACAACACAAAACAAAAAAAGCAACTCTGTGATCCAGTAAGATATTCATAACTTGGGCACTCAACAAAAAGTACAAGAGGTTAATTCCCTCTTTGCACAGTATGGATATAAAATGTTGGGAGCCACAGCTCTGTGAACTGATGAAAACCAAAAGTGTTACTTGTGTCAGTTATGCTATAAAATAGGTTATGGCCCTATCTATCAGATGACAGAGTGGTAACACCACAGTTGTAATTAGCATTGACTGACAACTCTGGCCCAAGCTCAAGAGATGTAAAAACTAAATGAGCATAACATATCAACTCCTTGGCACCCGCATTGCTATTTCTACCAGGAGTATTAGTAGGACGCTGTGGGGAAATCTAAACTACACCTAATTTGAAAGTGAAAGCCTTTGTCTGCGAAGATGGTAGTGTTTCATTTCCAGTGTACCTGGTGCTCGTGAGTGAAAATTAACCGGGTGAGAGTAACTCCTTCTATATAAAAATCCATAGATTCGAATATTTAAAATACTCATCCATTTTTTGGTAAACTTGATCAGACATATGAATATATGTTTGCTGCATGATTAAATCAAATATAAATAAGGAAATAGTTCTTTCAAACCATTTTACGTATACACACATGTGTTTAGCAACCTTACATTTATTAATAACTCATTTAAGAACTTAAAGAGTGACAGATTTTATAAAATTGGACAGTCAGCTTTAACTAGGTAGCGCCCCACGCAATAAAGCGAGGCATGCAGTTAACAGCACAAACAAGAGACCAAGAAGTACGTAAGCCAAGACTAACGGGAGCGGCAGGAGCCACGACAGG